GTACTTTCCCCCGTATGCTGTTGGCACACAGCACATATGGTACTTTCCCCCGTATGCTGTTGGCACACAGCACACATATGGTACTTTCCCCTGTATGCTGTTGGCACACAGCACACAGATGCTACTTTCCCCCGTATGCTGTTGGCACACAGCACACAGATGGTACTTTCCCCTGTATGCTGCTGGCACACAGAACACAGATGGTACTTTCCCATGTATGCTGTTGGCACACAGCACACAGATGGTACTTTTCCCAGTATGCTGTTGGCACACAGCACACAGATGGTACTTTTCCCGTATGCTGTTGGCACACAGCACACAGATGGTACTTTCCCCCGTATGCTGTTGGCACACAGCACACAGATGGTACTTTCCTCCGTATGCTGTTGGCACACAGCACACAGATGGTACTTTTCCCCGTATGCTGTTGGCACACAGCACACAGATGGTACCTTCCCTCGTATGCTGTTGGCACACAGCACACCGATGCTACTTTCCCCCGTGTGCTGTTGGCCGACAGATAATACTTTTCCCCGTATGCTGTTGGCACACAGCACACAGATGCTACTTTCCCCCGTATGCTGTTGGCACACAGCACACAGATGGTACCTTCCCTCGTATGCTGTTGGCACACAGCACACAGATGGTACTTTCCCCTGTATGCTGTTGGCACACAGCACACAGATGGTACTTTTCCCGGTATGCTGTTGGCACACAGCACACATATGGTACTTTCCCCTGTATGCTGTTGGCACACAGCACACAGATAATACTTTTCCCCGTATGCTGTTGGCACACAGCACACAGATGCTACTTTCCCCCGTATGCTGTTGGCACACAGCACACAGATGGTACATTCCCCCGTATGCTGTTGGCACACAGCACACATATGGTACTTTCCCCTGTATGCTGTTGGCACACAGCACACAGATGGTACTTTTCCCGGTATGCTGTTGGCACACAGCACACATATGGTACTTTCCCCTGTATGCTGTTGGCACACAGCACACAGATGGTACTTTTCCCCGTATGCTGTTGGCACACAGCACACAGATGGTACTTTTCCCCGTATGCTGTTGGCACACAGCACACAGATGGTACTTTTCCCCGTATGCTGTTGGCACACAGCACACAGATGGTACTTTCCCCGTATGCTGTTGGCACACAGTACACAGATGCTACTTTCCCCTGTATGCTGTTGGCACACAGCACACAGATGCTACTTTCCCCCGTATGCTGTTGGCACACAGCACACAGATGGTACTTTTCCCCGTATGCTGTTGGCACACAGCACACAGATGGTACTTTCCCTTGTATGCTGTTGGCCGACAGATAATACTTTTCCCCGTATGCTGTTGGCACACAGCACACAGATGGTACTTTCCACCGTATGCTGTTGGCACACAGCACACAGATGCTACTTTCCTCCGGATGTTGTTGGCACACAGCACACAGATGGTACTTTCCCCCGTATGCTGTTGGCACGCAGCACACAGATGGTACTTTCCCCCGTATGCTGCTGGCACACAGCACACAGATGGTACTTTTCCCCGTATGTTGTTGGCACACAGCACCCAGATGGTACTTTTCCCCGTATGCTGTTGGCACACAGCACACAGATGCTACTTTCCCCCGTATGCTGTTGGCACACAGCACATATGGTACTTTCCCCCGTATGCTGTTGGCACACAGCACACATATGGTACTTTCCCCTGTATGCTGTTGGCACACAGCACACAGATGGTACTTTCCCCCGTATGCTGTTGGCACACATCACACAGATGGTACTTTCCCCAGTATGATGTTGGCACACAGCACACAGATGCTACTTTCCCCTGTATGCTGTTGGCACACAGCACACAGATGGTACATTTCCCCGTATGCTGTTGGCACACAGCACACAGATGGTACTTTCCCCCGTATGCTGCTGGCACACAGCACACAGATGGTACTTTCCCCCGTATGCTGTTGGCACACAGCACATATATGGTACTTTCCCCTGTATGCTGTTGGTACACAGCACACAGATGGTACTTTTCCCCGTATGCTGCAGGCACACAGCACACAGATGGTACTTTCCCCCGTATGCTGTTGGTACACAGCACACAGATGGTACCTTCCCCCGTATGCTGTTGGCACACAGCACAAATATGACACTTTTCCCCGTATGTTGTTGGCACACAGCACACAGATGGTACTTTTCCCGTATGCGGTTGGCACACAGCACACAGATGGTACTTTCCCCCGTATGCTGTTGGCACACAGCACACAGATGGTACTTTCCCGCGTATGCTGTTGGCACACAGCACAAAGATGGTACTTTTCCCCGTATGCTGTTGGCACACAGCATACAGATTGTACTTTTCCCGTATGCTGTTTGCACACAGCACACAGATTGCACTTTTCCCCGTATGCTGTTGGCACACAGCACACAGATGACACTTTCCACCGTATGCTGTTGGCACACAGCACACAGATGCTACTTTCCTCCGGATGTTGTTGGCACACAGCACACAGATGGTACTTTCCCCCGTATGCTGTTGGCACGCAGCACACAGATGGTACTTTCCCCCGTATGCTGCTGGCACACAGCACACAGATGGTACTTTTCCCCGTATGTTGTTGGCACACAGCACACAGATGGTACTTTTCCCCGTATGCTGTTGGCACACAGCACACAGATGCTACTTTCCCCCGTATGCTGTTGGCACACAGCACATATGGTACTTTCCCCCGTATGCTGTTGGCACACAGCACACATATGGTACTTTCCCCTGTATGCTGTTGGCACACAGCACACAGATGGTACTTTCCCCCGTATGCTGTTGGCACACAGCACACAGATGGTACTTTCCCCAGTATGATGTTGGCACACAGCACACAGATGCTACTTTCCCCTGTATGCTGTTGGCACACAGCACACAGATGGTACATTTCCCCGTATGCTGTTGGCACACAGCACACAGATGGTACTTTCCCCCGTATGCTGCTGGCACACAGCACACAGATGGTACTTTCCCCCGTATGCTGTTGGCACACAGCACATATATGGTACTTTCCCCTGTATGCTGTTGGTACACAGCACACAGATGGTACTTTTCCCCGTATGCTGCAGGCACACAGCACACAGATGGTACTTTCCCCCGTATGCTGTTGGTACACAGCACACAGATGGTACCTTCCCCCGTATGCTGTTGGCACACAGCACAAATATGACACTTTTCCCCGTATGTTGTTGGCACACAGCACACAGATGGTACTTTTCCCGTATGCGGTTGGCACACAGCACACAGATGGTACTTTCCCCCGTATGCTGTTGGCACACAGCACACAGATGTTACTTTCCCGCGTATGCTGTTGGCACACAGCACAAAGATGGTACTTTTCCCCGTATGCTGTTGGCACACAGCATACAGATTGTACTTTTCCCGTATGCTGTTTGCACACAGCACACAGATTGCACTTTTCCCCGTATGCTGTTGGCACACAGCACACAGATGACACTTTTCCCCGTATGTTGTTAGCACACAGCACACAGATGGTACTTTCCCCCGTATGCTGTTGGCACACAGCACACAGATGGCACTTGACATGAGAGGGAAATAGAGCACTCAAACAACCCAAGCTACGTGGGATAAGTTTTTCTCATTTTATCTCAAATCTAGTGAGATATCGAATGTTCAGTAGTAATTACACATCGCACGAAAAAAAACACATGTCGAACATTGCTATTTCATTGTCCGAAAAAATGTTCAGGAATCGTGAACAGTGTTATAGACTTTATCATTAACATTGTTTTAAATGATTTTCTCAAACGTAATGAAATCATTGAATTATTCAGAAAGAGGTAAAGAATATTCGATAAATGATAGCTATTATAACACACATATTACTGACTACGAAATCTATTGATTTATACGGCTAGTGATCACTAAGTCTAGATTTTGATATTTGAACCCGATCACTTTAGATTTCCCTATGTCGCCTCCCAGGTTTAAATCTAACGAGTCATAAAAGGACGGAACAGCTGCATGATGCAGTTTAATTCATTGTTTGGTTTTACTGTATCTAGCTCTAAATTTATATCAAAACGTGCTGTTTGCTTGTGCTACATTTCAACAATCTTTGGATCAGCTGTATCTTAATTTAGAATAACAGATGCACGAAACGTATGAGTCTTTCGTATAACCTTTGGTTTTATTGTATCTAACTCCATTATATTTAATCAAGTATTCCCCAGTAATTTCTGTAATTAGTGATAACCGTTGTAATCAATTATTCCCCAGTAATTCCTGTAATTAGTGATACCCGTTGTAATCAATTATTCCCCAGTAATCAATTATTCCCCAGTAATTCCTGTAATTAGTGATAACCGTTGTAATCAATTATTCCCCAGTAATTCCTGTAATTAGTGATACCCGTTGTAATCAATTATTCCCCAGTAATTCCTGTAATTAGTGATAATTGTGGTAATCAATTATTCCCCAGTAATTTCTGTAATTAGTGATAACCGTTGTAATCAATTATTCCTCAGTAATTCCTGTAATTAGTGATACCCGTTGTAATCAATTATTCCCCAGTAATTCCTGTAATTAGTGATAACCGTTGTAATCAATTATTCCCCAGTAATTCCTGTAATTAGTGATACCCGTTGTAATCAATTATTCCTCAGTAATTCCTGTAATTAGTGATACCCGTTGTAATCAATTATTCCCCAGTAATTCCTGTAATTAGTGATAACCGTTGTAATCAATTATTCCCCAGTAATTCCTGTAATTAGTGATAACCGTTGTAATCAATAATTCCTCAGTAATTCCTGTAACTAGTGATGAATCTTGTTAATAAAGATTCCTAGTTATTCTAGTATTACGTTTGAGATTTCTCCAGTTTGACATTACAACCTAGCGACTTTGTTATGCTAATACCACTAGATTACACGTAGGAATTTTACAATATCATCTATTGATATTGATTTGCTGTTTAAGATTCTCGAGAATTACCTGTAGATAGTGTCCATCTCCAATGGATGCAGGACACCAGCCTTGTGAACTACTGAATCTTACTCTCACTAAAGGACATGTGGGATGAGTGGAGGACGCTGTGAATGCGTCGTCAGAAACACCGTAAGGTCCGGTTACTAAGTTGTAATCACAAGGCCCGTTTCCAGCTGAAAATAAATGTCTTAATCAATTTCCTTAACACTAATTATGTCTTAATATCACCGATATCTTAACGTCCGTTTAGTATGTCATAACATTGTAATATTAATTATATCTTAATCAATTTCCTTAACATTGGTTATGCCTTCTCATTAAAAAGATCTTAATATTTTGTGTTAACATTAATCATATCTGAAGTTCGTTAGGTGTATCTCAGAATCAAGAATGTGGAGAAAACTACAAACTGTTACAATGTATTCTGAAAGTGTGAGAAAGGTCTCCCGGATGCTGTTCAGGGAGATAACCACCAGATATTCCGTGAAGCATGAGACGAGTCTCCCGGATGCTGTTCAGGGAGATAACCACCAGATATTCTGTGAAGCATGAGACGAGTCTTCCGGATGCTGTTCAGTGAGATAACCACCAGTTATTCCGTGAAGCATGGGACGAGTCTACCGGATGCTGTTCAGTGAGATAACCACCAGTTATTCCGTGAAGCATGAGACGAGTCTTCCGGATGCTGTTCAGGGAGATAACCACCAGATATTCCGTGAAGCATGAGATGAGTCTCCCGTGTGTTGTTCAGGGAGATCACCACCAGATATTCCGTGAAGCATGAGATGAGTCTCCCGTGTGTTGTTCAGCGTCATAACCACAGATATTCCGTGAAGCATGAGACGAGCCTCCAGTGTGTTGTTCAGGGAGATAACCACAGATATTCCGTGAAGCATGAGACGAGCCTCAAGTGTGTTGTTCAGGGAGATAACCACAGATATTCCGTGAAGCATGAGACGAGTCTCCAGTGCGTTGTTCAGGGAGATAACCACCGGATTTTCTGTGAAACATAAGACGAATCTCTCGTGTGTAATGCAAGGAGATAACCAACGGATATTCCGTGAAGCATGAGACGAGTCTCCCGGATGCTGTTCAGGGAGATAACCACCAGATGTTCCGTGAAGCATGAGACGAGTCTCCCGGATGTTGTTCAGCGTCATAACCACAGATATTCTGTGACGGATGAGACGAGTCTTCCGGATGCTGTTCAGGGAGATAACCACAAGATATTCACAGAAGCATGAGACGAGGCTCCAGTATGTTGTTCAGGGAGATAACCACCGGATATTCCGTGAAGCATGAGACGAAGCACCAGTGTGTTGTTCAGGGAGATAACCACCAGATATTCCGTGAAGCATGAGATGAGTCTCCCGGATGTTGTTCAGGGAGATAACCACTGGATATTCCGTGAATCATGAGATAAGTCTCCAGAATGTTGTTCAGGGAGATAACCACCGGATATTCCGTGAAGCATGAGACGAGCACCAGTGTGTGTGTTGTTCAGGGAGATAACCACTGGATATTCCGTGAATCATGAGATGAGTCTCCCGGATGTTGTTCAGGGAGATAACCACCAGATATTCCGTGAAGCATGAGATGAGTCTCCCGGATGTTGTTCAGGGAGATAACCACTGGATATTCCGTGAAGCATGAGACGAGGCTCCAGAATGTTGTTCAGGGAGATAACCACCGGATATTCCGTGAAGCATGAGACGAAGCACCAGTGTGTTGTTCAGGGAGATAACCACCAGATATTCCGTGAAGCATGAGATGAGTCTCCCGGATGTTGTTCAGGGAGATAACCACTGGATATTCCGTGAAGCATGAGATGAGTCTCCCGGATGTTGTTCAGGGAGATAACCACCAGATATTCACAGTGAAGCATGCTGTTGTTGTTCAGGGAGATAACCAACGGATATTCCGTGAAGCATGGGACGAGTCTTCCAGATGTTGTTCAAGGAGATAACCACCGGATATTCCGTGAAGCATGAGACGAGGCTCCAGTATGTTGTTCAGGGAGATAACCACCGGATATTCCGTGAAGCATGAGACGAAGCTCCAGTGTGTTGTTCAGGGAGATAACCACCAGATATTCCGTGAAGCATGAGATGAGTCTCCCGGATGTTGTTCAGGGAGATAACCACTGGATATTCCGTGAAGCATGAGATGAGTCTCCCGGATGTTGTTCAGGGAGATAACCACCAGATATTCACAGAAGCATGAGACGAGTCTCCCGGATGCTGTTCAGGGAGATAACCACCGGATATTCCGTGAAGCATGAGACAAGTCTCCAGTGTGTTCTTCAGGGAGTTAACCAACGGATATTCTGTGAATCATGAGACGAGTCTCCTGGATGTTGTTCAGCGTCATAACCACAGATATTCTGTGAGGTATGAGACGAGTCTCCCGGATGTTGTTCAGGGAGATAACCACCGGATATTCTGTGAATCATGAGACGAGTCTCCCGGATGTTGTTCAGGGAGATAACCACCGGATATTCCGTGAAGCATGAGACGAGTCTCCCGGATGTTGTTCAGGGAGATAACCACCGGATATTATGTGAATCATGAGACGAATCTCCCGGATATTGTTCAGGGAGATAACCACCAGATATTCCGTAAAGCATGAGATGAGTCTCCCGTGTGTTGTTCAGCGTCATAACCACAGATATTCCGTGAAGCATGAGACGAGCCTCCAGTGTGTTGTTCAGGGAGATAACCACAGATATTCCGTGAAGCATGGGACGAGTCTAGCGGATGTTGTTCAGGGAGATAACCACAGATATTCCGTGAAGCATGAGACGAGTCTCCAGTGCGTTGTTCAGGGAGATAACCACCGGATTTTCTGTGAAACATAAGACGAATCGCTCGTGTGTAATGCAAGGCGATAACCACCAGATATTCCGTGAAGCATGAGACGAGTCTCCCGGATGCTGTTCAGGGAGATAACCACCAGATGTTCCGTGAAGCATGAGACGAGTCTCCCGGATGTTGTTCAGCGTCATAACCACAGATATTATGTGAGGTATGAGACGAGTCTTCCGGATGCTGTTCAGGGAGATAACCACAAGATATTCACAGAAGCATGAGACGAGGCTCCAGTATGTTGTTCAGGGAGATAACCACCGGATATTCCGTGAAGCATGAGACGAAGCACCAGTGTGTTGTTCAGGGAGATAACCACCAGATATTCCGTGAAGCATGAGATGAGTCTCCCGGATGTTGTTCAGGGAGATAACCACTGGATATTCCGTGAAGCATGAGATGAGTCTCCCGGATGTTGTTCAGGGTGATAACCACCGGATATTCACAGAAGCATGAGACGAGTCTCCCGGATGCTGTTCAGGGAGATAACCACCGGATATTCCGTGAAGCATGAGACGAGGCTCCAGAATGTTGTTCAGGGAGATAACCACCGGATATTCCGTGAAGCATGAGACGAAGCTCCAGTGTGTTGTTCAGGGAGATAACCACCAGATATTCCGTGAAGCATGAGATGAGTCTCCCGGATGTTGTTCAGGGAGATAACCACTGGATATTCCGTGAAGCATGAGACGAGTCTCCCGGATGTTGTTCAGCGTCATAACCACAGATATTCTGTGAGGTATGAGACGAGTCTCCCGGATGCTGTTCAGGGAGATAACCACCAGATATTCACAGAAGCATGAGACGAGTCTCCCGGATGCTGTTCAGGGAGATAACCACCAGATATTCCGTGAAGCATGAGACAAGTCTCCAGTGTGTTCTTCAGGGAGTTAACCAACGGATATTCCGTGAAGCATGAGATGAGGCTCCAGTGTGTTGTTCAGGGAGATAACCACCGGATATTCTGTAATCATGAGACGAGTCTCCCGGATGTTGTTCAGCGTCATAACCACAGATATTCTGTGAGGTATGAGACGAGTCTCCCGGATGTTGTTCAGGGAGATAACCACCGGATATTCTGTGAATCATGAGACGAGTCTCCCGGATGTTGTTCAGGGAGATAACCACCGGATATTATGTGAATCATGAGACGAATCTCCCGGATATTGTTCAGGGAGATAACCACCAGATATTCCGTGAAGCATGAGATGAGTCTCCCGGATGTTGTTCAGGGAGATAACCACCGGATATTCTGTGAATCATGAGACGAGTCTCCCGGGTGTTGTTCAGGGAGATAACCACCGGATATTCCGTGAATCATGAGACGAGTCTCCAATGTTTTATTCACTGAGATAACCACCAGATATTCCATGAAGCATGAGACGAGGCTCCAGTGTGTTGGTCAGGGAGATAACCACCAGATATTACAATGTATTTTGGAAATTATAAGACGAGCCTCCCGGTTGTACTTCAGGGAGATAACCACCAGATATTACAATGTATTTTGGAAATTATAAGACGAGCCTCCCGGTTGTACTTAAGGGAGATAACCACCAGATATTACAATGTATTTTGGAAATTATAAGACGAGCCTCCCGGTTGTACTTCAGGGAGGTAACCACCAGTTATTACAATGTATTTTGGAAATTATAAGACGAGCCTCCCGGTTGTACTTCAGGGAGGTAACCACCAGTTATTACAATGATAAGCCGCTTTAAAACATCTCTGGTATTTCATGTGACGATGTTTTTACTACAGTACAATCACTCATAGTTTTACAAATATCGACATCAACATCTACGGCTGATTTGTTCTATAGTATTTCAATGTTTTATTGAAAACACACAGGTTGAACACTAATACAAAATCCTTAGAAGGAGATCTATCGTATTGAATAAACCGTAATCACATCTAACCAATAAATCGGAGACCACAAAAAATATGAAAACGCTTATTTGTTATCATATATGTACGCGATATCAATTTCAGTATAATTTGATTTCATGGGAAAACTTACCTCGACAAAGTATTATCAGAGTCAGGAGGCATAGAATCCATGTTAAAAACTCCATAACCAGTAGCATAGTGTCCAGTATCTACGCTCTGAAGTCGCTTGCTCCAAACCAGTCCTTTTAAAGAGTCATTGGAATACCTGGCGATCCGTGAATTATCGAATAAGTGAACTATCCAATAACAAAACCACTAAAACCGTATAATGGGGATAAGATCAATACTTCTGATTGTATTCTTCGCGAGACAATGTAATTAAAACATGCTCGTCTGCTTCTCTTGTTAAGCAATTTCCTAATGCTATGTACTGTTTGCATGTCAACCGTGTATTTTATCGACCTTAAGTAGAATCATATTCCTAACGGGTTAATTCATGTTAACTAACGAGATTTTATTTTCGTCTCTGTCTTTAAGCTGTCTCTCGTTGAGCGGTCTCTCGTTGAGCGATCTCTCAATCTAGTTGAACGGTATCTCGTTGAGCGATCTCTCAAACTCGTTGAGCGGTCTCTCGTCATATTTCGTTGAGCGGTCTCTCGTTGAGCGGTCTCTCGTTGATTGATCTCTCGTTGAGCGGTCTCTCGTTGAGTGATCTCTCGTTGAGCGATCTCTCGTTAACGATATCTCGTTGAGTGATCTCTCGTTGAGCAATTCCTCGTTGAGTGATCTTTCGTTAACGATATCTCGTTGAGCTGTCTCTCGTTGAGCGGTATCTCGTTGAGTGATCTCTCGTTGAGAGTTATCTCGTTGAGCGGTCTCTCGTTGAGCGGTCTCTCGTTAAGCGGTCTCTCGTTGAGCGGTCTCTCGTTAAGCGATCTCTCGTTGAGCGGTCTCTCGTTGAGCGGTATATCAGTGAGCGGTCTCTCGTTGAGCGATCTCTCGTTGAGCGGTCTTTCGTTGAACGATCTCTCGTTAAGCGGTCTCTCGTTGAGCGATCTCTCGTTGAGCGGTCTCTCGTTAAGCAGTCTCTCGTTGAGTAGTCTCTCGTTAACGGTCTCCCTTTGAGCGGTATCTCGTTGAGCGGTCTCTCGTTGAGCGGTCTTTCGTTGAACGATCTCTCGTTGAACGATCTCTTGTTAAGCAGTCTCTCGTTGAGCAGCCTCTCGTTGAGCGATCTCTCGTTGAACGATCTCTCGTTGAGCGATCTCTCGTTGAGCGATCTCTCGTTGAGCGGTATCTCGTTGAGCGATCTCTCGTTGAGCGGTCTCTCGTTAAGCAGTCTCTCGTTGAGCAGTCTCTCGTTAACGGTCTCCCTTTGAGCGGTATCTCGTTGAGCGATATCTCGTTGAGTGATCTCTCGTTGAGCGGTCTCTCGTTAAGCAGTCTCTCGTTGAGCAGTTTCTCGTTAACGGTCTCCCTTTGAGCGGTATCTCGTTGAGCGGTCTCTCGTTGAGCGGTCTCTCGTTAAGCGGTGTCATACTCCTTTTAGCTTAAAACATGTTTCTTTACATAAAATAGTCTATTCATTTCACTCCGTAGGCGGTTTCATATTCATTTCTCTTAATATTTGTATAATAACAAGATTTATTCTATTTACCTTTTTGATGGAAGCGGTGTCATATTCTTTGGGCTTAATATAAGTTTGATAATATATTACAAGAATCAGAAGAAGCTTACTCCTCTGGAACACCTCGGATCAGCGATAGGTGATAATCTGTACACACCTCGGATCAGCGATAAGTGATAATCTGTACACACCTCGGATCAGCGATAGGTGATCGTTATCAATCTGTACACACCTCGGATCAGCGATAGGTGATAATCTGTACACACCTCGGATAAGCGATAGGTGATAATCTGTACACACCTCGGATCAGCGATAAGTGATAATCTGTACACACCTCGGATCAGCGATAGGTGATCGTTATCAATCTGTACACACCTCGGATCAGCGATAGGTGATCGTTATCAATCTATACACACCTCGGATCTGCGATAGTTGATAATCTGTACGCAATTCGGATCAGCGGTAGGTAATAATCTGTACACACCTCGGATCAGGGATAGGTGATCGTCATTAATCTATACACACCTCGGATCAGCGGTAGGTGATCGTTATTAATCTATACACACCTCGGATTTGCGATAGTTGATAATCTGTACGCAATTCGGATCAGCGATAGGTGATCGTTATCGATCTATACACACCTCGGGTCAGCGATAGTTGATAATCTATACACACCTCGGATCAGCGATAGGTGATCGTTATCAATCTATACACACCTCGGATCAGCGATAGGTGATCGTTATCGATCTGTGCACACCTCGGATCAGCGATAGGTGATCGTTATCAATCTGTACACACCTCGGATCAGCGATAGGTGATAATCTGTACACACCTCGGATCAGCGATAGGTGATAATCTGTACACACCTCGGATCAGCGATAGGTGATCGTTATCAATCTGTACACACCTCGGATCAGCGATAGTTGATAATCTGTACACACCTCGGATCAGCGATAGTTGATAATCTGTACACACCTCGGATCTGCGATAGGTGATAATCTGTACACACCTCGGATCTGCGATAGGTGATCGTTATCAACCTGTACACACCTCGGATCAGCGATAGGTGATAATCTGTACACACCTCGGATCTGCGATAGGTGATAATCTGTACACATCTCGGATCAGCGATAGGTGATCGTTATAAATTTGTACACACCTCGGATCAGCGATAGGTGATAATCTGTAGACACCTCGGATCAGCGATAGGTGATGATCTGTACACACCTCGGATCAGCGATAGGTGATAATCTGTACACACCTCAGATCAGCGATAGGTGATAATCTGTACACACCTCGGATCAGCGATATGTGATAATCTGTACACATCTCGGATCAGCGATAGGTGATCGTTATCAATTTGTACACACCTCGGATCAGCGATAGGTGATAATCTGTACACACCTCGGATCAGCGAAAGGTGATAATCTGTGCACACCTCGGATCAGCGATAGGTAATAATCTGTACACACCTCGGATCAGCGATATGTGATAATCTGTACACATCTCGGATCAGCGATAGGTGATCGTTATAAATTTGTACACACCTCGGATCAGCGATAGGTGATGATCTGTACACACCTCGGATCAGCGAAAGGTGATAATCTGTACACACCTCGGATCAGCGATAGGCGATAATCTGTACACACTTCGGATCAGCGAAAGGTGATAATCTGTATACACCTCGGATAAGCGATAGGTGATAATCTGTGCACACCTCGGATCAGCGATAGGTGATAATCTGTGCACACCTCGGATCAGCGATAGGTGATCGTTATCAATCTGTACACACCTCGGATCAGCGATAGGTGACAATCTGTACACACCTCGGATCAGTGATAGGTGATTTTTATCAATTTGATTTGACCTTCTTTTCATATAGATAAAGATGCGTTACGTATTTTTTACCTGTTTGATTTCGATCAAAACTAATCCCTTCAGGTGTATCACTAAATATGATTACCTCTGTATGTGTTTGCCTAATCCATGGGCTAAGACTCCATGATGTTGTAAGGTCGGTGTCACGTTTTTTAGAAAGAGATCGTCTGGTTTTCTTATAATACGCTCAATAAGTTCTTTTAAAGTATTTGTGTATTGTATGTTTGTATACCGATATGTCAGCGTCGGACTATATGGTGGCAATTATATTTACATAAATGCATATATCGTCTGTCAGACGGTATATCGAATGTGTTCTTGATTTTGTTTACATAGATCTGTTGTAAGACGATGTATCGAATGTGTTCGTGAGTCGGTTTACATAGATCTGTTGTAAGACGGTATACCGAATGTGTTCGTGAGTCGGTTTACATGAATCTGTTGTCAGACGGTATACCGAATGTGTTCATGAGTCGGTTTACATGAATCTGTTGTCAGACGGTATACCGAATGTGTTCATGAGTCGGTTTACATGAATCTGTTGTAAGACGGTATACCGAATGTGTTCATGAGTCGGTTTCCATGAATATGTTGTCAGACGGTATACCGAATGTGTTCATGAGTCGGTTTACATGAATATGTGTGTTCATGAGTCGGTTAACATGAATATGTTGTCAGACGAATGTGTTCATTAGTCGGTTTACATAAATCTGTTGTCAGACGGTATACCGAATGTGTTCGTGTGTTTGTTTACATGAATCTGTTGTCAGACGGTATACCGAATGTGTTCGTGTGTTTGTTTACATAAATCTGTTGTAAGACTGTATGTTAAACGGTCCCGTGTGTTGGTTTAATGGAATGCGTTTGTTGGTAGCTTTTTTATAGTATGATTGTTTTTGTATGTCGAACTATCGCATATGTCTATGAGTGGGGTTGTATTGATTTTTCTATTAGGCAAGTTAATCAGTTTGCCTGTTAGTGGCCTGTTAGATGATAAACTCCTGAAATATGTCTAGTTAATGACATTTCCGTGTGATAAAGCTATACAGTTCCGTGTGATAAAACTATACAGATGTCCCTGTAGTAAGTTTGATATGACCGAGAGAGGTGCCATGTTACCATATCTAGTTTATGACACGTGTATGACATTGACTGTTGGGGTCTCAACAGTTGCAATCATGTCTGTAGTTACATGTTTAGTTTCTACTGCATAATAACATTTGTCAAGATATTTTAACCCTACGTGATTTAGATACCATGCGACGAACCCTTCTTATTATTTTCTGTTAGAAAGCCACTATCTATTACTAGGGGACATTGCCTTAAAATTGAATGGCATAGGATGTTCACAGGACGACTATAAACAGAGATAACAATATCAATTCACTTATATAACTGGAAACGACGAATTTCATCCACATATTGGAATCACGTATTCTACGTGATAATAGATTGTTTACTTTTTAACCGTGTAACACAAACCGGTATGTATCTCAAAATAGCAAACGAAGTGTACAGACATTACATCAAATAGCAGTAAAGTGTATGTATAAACTACCATAGGTATATCATTATAAAACAGGGCGGCATTTCAAACATGATGCTTTTTATAATGGTGTTGGCAAAAGTACGATTGATCAGGCGGAAGAATTTAATAGTACGACAGAGTGATCAGGCGGAAAAATTCGATGT